AGGCCTCGGTTGATAAAGAAAACCGTCTGATCGTGAGTTCCAATTGTTTTGACGCCAAGACGAAATAATTGGGGGTAAACAGACAGTCGTAATAAGATTTTGACGTCGACTTTTAGAGGTCATGGATGTGGGATATTTCCTGGACAGTATCGAAGCCAGCACGGAAACCGAAGGCTCTCCATTATTTGAAGCCTTTGCCATGGAACGACTGGTGGAGGCACAGTAGACTGAAAATACTTAAATTTTGATGTTGTTTATTTTTAAATTGATCAGCGATGGAGCTGTATTTAAGTGTAGTGACAAGTCGTGTTTTAGAATGATCAACAAATAAAATCTCCAGTCCAAGTTCTGCCAGTTGTCACTGTCACTATTGAAGGCACAGCTCTGCTGTTTTATTTGTTACTTTGATGATCTGGAGAAATATAGGGTGTAGCACTGGCTATGTTCTGGAAGACTGTGATTTCACAATTCGTGTCTCGGTAGTGACAAAAATATTTACTCCTCCGTGTCGTCTAGAACAGCTCTGGGGTACACTCAATCTCCTACACAATAGGTCCTTGGGGATATCTTCCCGGGAGTAAAGCGGCTGGGGCTTGAATCTGGCCACTCCAACGAATGCCGAGGTCAAGAAAATCTAGATCTATTCATCCCCAACCCCATACGCCTTCATGGCGTAGTGCTGAGTTGGTTAAGCTCAGGGACAATTTTACCTTATCTTACATATAAAATAATATATCTGACGTGGCACGTATCGCATATGAACCACCTCGTCTAACAAATTTTGAATCGAACGGTACATGTAGTCAGAGGAGACGGCACTCGCTAGGCTACGGCTTAGTAAACACGTAAAGACGTCAATAAGCAAGCAGCAAAAAGTTATTTCTACACACACAGACACAAAGACAGCAAAGGGAATTTAAATGCCTCCTTCTATTTTTCTAAATGAGGAATGTATGCTAAAACATACCAAAGTCTATATTTTAATAAAGTCTAAACATCATTAAAAACAGCATTGCTTGTACGAACACCCGCCTGTGATAATATCTGTAAGTTACATTTAACGCAGTGCCAATTTTGATGGAAATACAATATTTCTGGAGATAAAGCAGGCTTTACCGTCTGTCAGTACAGCTTGCACGAATCTGTAAACACGACTCACAGTTACATGACCCCTTATGCATTCATTCATTAATTCATTCATACATTGCCGCAGTGAGGTTTTGATGGAAAACAGTATCTCTGGAGCATATATAATTTACCCTCTAAAGTTTTGACTTAAATATATCTCAGCAAGAATAGATTCATGAGACCACATTGACGAGAACTTGTTTTCCTCTATTAAGTGAGTGCTATTCATTCATCAGTAATCTGTCAGACGTCAGGTCCACAGTCTCTACCAAAACAGTTCCTCCACTTAATGAGCTCTTCTGTTTTTGGAAGGAGGCTATCCAGGAAAAGTGAAAATGTGGTAGTTTTTCCATTTGCTTTGAACCGTCTGAAGACGAGTCAAATGGTTCGTCCCGTGAAAGGCGTCATGGAATTGCAGTCCACCACAGCCAATGCTCATATATTTCTTGTAAAGTTCATTTCAATGATGTCACGTGACCCTCCCCCTCTTTTTTCCTTCCTCCTCTACTTGTCGTGGCAAGATGACACGAACGATCGCCTCTTTCCCTGGGTGGCGGTCGTGCAGGGTGGTTGTCCCTGCTCTTAGAAATTTCTTTTGATTTCCTTTCTTTTTCAAAATTAAATTTATTTTTGGAAGTCAGCGCTGTGTGTCCCGGGAGAGGGCCCCTTTGCCGAGCTATGGAGGAATGGCGAGGCAAAAGTGTTTTATATAAATATATACGTATGGGTACCATGAGAGTATATTTACACATGTGAGTATTATTATTTTTTCTTGTGAAATTAAATGGTCAGTGAAATGGGCGGTGTCCCATGAATAAGGTACTGGCTTGAATGACAGGAGTGGGTCATGCTAGGTTTCTTGTAATATTAATTCTGGTATTCACATCATATGTTTTATTTCCTTTATTATTGTTAAATGTATATTTATTTCGTTATTATATTATAGTAATTGTTAAACTCAGTCAGCATAGCTCTCGATTTGTGCGTGTATTTCCCACAACAACAAGTGAATGAACTCCTCCCCCTTTCCCTCTCCTGAAANTCGCAGTACAACAGCCGTTCAAACCACTCTGGTCACGCCTGTTGCAATACGAACTTGAACCATCTCGAGCATCATTTGCTCTGTGCTTCAAGTCGCTGCTGATGACGCTGCTTCCGACATCACTTTTTGGTTTTTGGTGTCTCTCTTCGTCTGATGCCTACACTTTGAAATGTACAGCAAGGGAGGCCCTGCCAGTAGCTACGCTACCGCTGGTATAGCTCTCAGGGTCCTTGGCATACTCAAACCCCCTCACCACGATAAGGTGGAGACACCAACGAGTAATTAATATAAGACTATATCTTCATTCATTCATCAGTGACTATAGGGTTTCGTCGGGCCCAGGCGACATATTTGGTTTTATAATCCTGTACACCGTGGGAACCGCCTATGTGGTCTTGTGTTCAAAGTTCCTAGATAAAGATCAAGAGGTCCCGGTTTGATTCCCGGCGCTACAAGACTTTCTGAGAAGTAATGTTTCTGGAACGGGGTCCACTTAGCTTCGTGAGGATAATTGAGGAGATACATACTTGAATGGAAAAGTAGAGACACCGGTATAGAAAACCGAAATTAACGGCCGTGGTGGTTCGTAGCTTTGAACACGCGACACCCTCTTTCCCCTAAAGTTGGTACTAACTTCGCCGACAGGTCGCGGTCGCTCGGCCGGTATAGATCTCTTGCGGATTAAAGGCAAGGCGCTTTTTTATGCTAAGGATTCTTTTGAATGGAATCAGCTCCAGCGCTAGGCTTATCTTGTGTAGGAATGGTTGTCACTGTACAGAAAGTAAACGGTTTAATTTACACAAATCCGTAGATATGCGGATACGCAAGTGTTTCCAATGAAGACGCTGGGTAGGAATCACGTGACTTGTTTTCTGTGTGGTCTTCCTTATGCAACAATAGAACTGGACTTTCTGTGCGTGGTCCGTACCGATCCTATATAAGAAGCAGTTCAGTTCGAGATTTCGTCAGGAAGACGTCAGCAGTTTATATGTTAATTTTGAGAGTGTTACAATAGTTTGTGTGACACAGATGCAACAATCTTGAAAGTGCAATAACGAATTGTACTTACGAAGTGTGAAATTATCCAATAAATAGAGTTATCAAATCCGGAACCTTTTATTTACTGTCGCGTCATCAGGTTAGAGGCGAAAATATGATATAATAAAGAACTTCGTGAACTGTACTGAGCAAGCGAACTATACCGACCTACCTACCACCGCTTGTCGGCGAAGTTAGTGCTAACTTTTGCGGACAGAGGTTGTCACGTGGTCAGCGCAACGAATCCCCACGGCTGTTAACTTCGGTTCTCTAGAACGGAGCAGCTTTTTCTTTGAAAAAGCTCCTCAATTATCATCACGAAGCTGAGTGGACCCCACTCCTGACCCAATATTTCACAGAAAATCTGGTAGCGCCAAGGATCGAAGCCGAGACCTCTGTATATTTAACCAGGAACTCTGACCACAAGACCATAGATGCTTTCGATATTATAATATGTTATAATAAGTTTTATTGTACACACTTTTTGTCGTTTAAGTATCCATTGGAAGTAACGCATGCACATAAAATAACTTGCTTGTCGCAGTTAAGCACTGTGGGATTTGTAAGATTTTCAACTGAAACGGAAACCTTAGGAACGAATAAACCGAGTAAGGGAGGGACCTACTGTGTTACAGCGAACTTTCTTGGCTCATCAACCACGTCAACATGGAGAGACTATCTCTGCTTCCTTCAACAAGAGTTGATGAGATAGGGGCATGTTGTCTTCTCAGGTTATCGAAGCCAAAGTCACATTATTCGTGACGATAAGTCAGTCAAAGCTAATTGATGTGTAGCATTAAAGCACTGGTCATAATAAAGACCATTCTTTGTACTCCTTCTGGCTTATTTTGGGCTTCACCCATCGTCTGGTATGTAAAAGACAAAAGACCACGACGTTTCGGAGACAGATCCAGTCTCCGAAACGTCTAGGTCTTTTGTCTTTTACATAAGAGACGATGGGTGAAGTCCAAAATAAGCCAGAAGAAGTAGAGTATATAACATCGTCAGAATCCTTTCGAGTCTACTATTCTTTGTCCGTAAATTTGCGGCATTTTCTCCTAGGTATGTTTGTAAAGAAATCTGTTGTCTTCCCAAGGGCGAAGCAAGTGGCCAAGAGGGGCGCAAAAAGCCTGAGGCAAATGACAACGCTTGTGTAAATATGGCGTGTGAAAACAGCACTCATCATCTAAAATTCTAAGGATTCA